AATATTAACAACGCAATTTGAATAAGTAAAATACATCGCCCCGATTAAAAGTCCATCCTTCACTTCCCGCCAACTATGCTCGACACAACTCAATTAGTTTTCTCCTCGGTGACCATTTCACGGTGACAGTAAAGCACACACAAATCAGAAAGGCGATTGGACGTCATTGATGAGCGCAGCCATGTCTTCACCCGTTTCATGCATGAGAAAGACCGCTCAGCCTCAACGGTGGTTGCTGGTAGCGTCATAACGATCTGTATTGCGGTGTACACGCTTGGATAGTCTCGAGCGCTCAGAAAAAGCCCCTCCAAACATTCGTCGTTAACGTCGGAACTTAAAGAAGTTCTCCACAGTCTCACTTCATTCTGGAGGTTATCCAATAAATACAGACGCTCTACCTCATCCACGTGAACTGGTTTGTTCGGTGGAAGAATTGATAGCAATGAAAAAAATAATGGGTTGTCAATGAAGCGTTCCCGAATAGAGCAGCTCAAGCCGTCGACGTATGGGAGATATACGGAACGTTCAAAATACAGGGATGCTGAATCAGCACAGACATTATCGCGATAAACTTGTACTTCGACTACTCTGGGTATTGTCAACTCTTTCAAGCCAGCTATTTCACAAGCTTCTTTGTAAATATTCAATGCGATCCCACAGTCATTGCGTTCTTCAGCGATAACGCTCTGAAGAGAGGATGTGAGGTTCTTTACTGACGGCACACTGACTCCGACCGCCTGAAGTGCGCGCGCTAGTGGCTCCATTAGTGCCGAATATCGACCAATCAAACATACGGCGTAGATAACCGACGACTTTTCTAGAGCAGATTTCAGAGAAAAAGCCTTCGCCCGCGTCTCACTGTTAGCATCTCTCGCCAAAGAATCAAGAGCCTCAAGTACTCGTTTGAAGTTGCATTTGAAGATTCGGATGCTCTTGTACTTCTCAGACCATCTGGTGGGGCAGAACAAAGGGATGTTAATTCCTAAACCCGCGCGCCTTTTAGGGCTCTCCCTGAAAAAACGAATAGTCTCACGAATGATATCACAGGTGCTTCTGATGATTGCAACTTTACTTTGGTCATTTATGACCAAATTCAAACAATGAGGAGCGCAGTGCACAAATATTGCGCACGGGTATTTATCACGAATGCGTTTTTGCACACCGCTGACGTGACCTGCCATTGTCGTTGCACCCTCATAACCTTGCCCCACAAGTTTTTGCAAATCCACTCTTATATCAGAGAGGTGGGTCAAAATATTTGAGGAAATTGATTCGGCAGAAACAGAATCCATTTCCACTAATCCTGTGAAGCGCTCGCACACTTCACCACCTTTCACATACCTCAAAACGATGCTTAGTTGTTCTTTCCCAGAAATATCACATGATTCGTCGGCTATTACGGACACAAACGATTTATTAGCCTCCATAACGATATCTTGCACTATCATGTTGCTTGCTACCTTGAGAATTTCATTTTGTATCATCGGGCTTGTATACTTAGCGTTTCCGGCCATTCGAGCGAAATTCCTTTTCAAATCTTCATCCCTTGCGTCGATACGAAATAGAAGAAGGTTCACAAAATTTCCACTATCCCCGGAATGTCCGCGCAAGGGTATGTTACCCGAAGCACAGAACATGACAGTCTTGACAATGGAAGTCATTATTCGTCTGTTTTCTTTTGTTTGCGTAGCATATTGGGTCTCCATGTTTGCACGCACATTTTGACCAGTTTCCATGTTTTTGACAAAATTTTTCGCAGCTATATTTAATTCTCGGTGGTAATTTGTGTCTCGGTGTGCTACAGCCTTTTCCATAAATTTTTTGTAGTCAATGCATGGTCTTGTAACAAAGGCAGTGTCCCTGAGAGTTCCATGCTTCAAACGTTCTTGCATGACTATGCATATCTTACACAAACCACCCCCATCAGAGAGTTGGGTGTAAACTAACCAACTGCAAAATCTGTTATCGTCAAGCCATTTTTTGAGAAATTTACGACGACTTTGTCTAACAGTATCCAGAATCGTCACGTTTTTCGGACCATCCGAAGTTAGAAGCCTGTATCTCTCCGCATCGGTAAGCTGTGTATGTTTCTTAAGAATAAATCCAAGATCGTTTGTTTTCCCTTCGTTGATTATTAGTTCATCTTCGGGAATAGAAGAGATAGACGTAACCGGTGCATCCACAGCCTGAGAAGCGCTTATTGATGTATTTGAGGAAAGCGAGTCTTTATTTCGCTGAAAAAAACTATCGAATTTCGCCTGTTTAAATTTATCCATCGAAGTAATTTGGTCATCAAAATCCAAGCGTTTCGAATAAAAATCCGGCGAGAACAAATCAAGACCGAGTAACTGACCGAAAGCTTGCGAAACAGTCTTTCCCATACTGCTCATAAGAGCGAACGGTCAAGTCTTTGTGACGTAACAATGACAATCAGCAAGCGTGACGAGACAATATGCCACAAAACTGGTGGATTAGGAATGGAATTCTTGAAAATTTTGGGGGGGGCCATGGCCCCTCTGGCCCCCCCCCTGGCTACGCCTATGGATGCCTCCAATGCTGCTTTGGTTTGAGGTGCCCACATTCGCCTTGAATCAAAGCGAAATTGTTCAAATCTGAGATTTTCGTTAAAATAATGAATCGGTTTCTGACTAGCGGGACTGGGAACGTCTAAATTACCCTAAATTCCAAGGGATTTTACTTTTGGGATGATTACCTCCATTCCGGTAACTACTGTCCTTGGCGAATCGTTTAAATTTCGTCTGGTTAGACATACCAAAAATCTGAGCTGGAATAAATATATATATATATAAAGATATAAAAATTTATTCGCCGTTCTCGCCGATATTTGTCCTTCCCCTACACATGTCAAATGGTTCGCCCACACGTGGTGTATTGCATATTTGGTCTGGCGCTCATGTGATCGTATAAGCCATGTATAACCGAATTTCTCTTTTCCGTCGACCTAATGTTGCGTCGCTGTTATCATGTTATACAGCTATTATAACGGACAGTGTTCTTCTAAACATTGTAATTTTTGTCTGAATTTTCATCATATTTCATCTGCGACACATTTATGATTGTGAAGGAATTTAAATGACTAAGGTGTGCTTTAGTATCACCTCTTTGAAGATGCTTGCTCAAATCTGAGTGAAAAAACATCTTATAAAATATTTATCCCTACACATCTATCCGATTTTTAATCTTAATAAATTAGTCCCCTTTTCGTCCCCTCATTGCGGTGCGTCACTTTTCGGTAATTTGACTTGAGATTTGAGCATCCAACACTAAATATTCTCAGATTTTAATTTCAGCAAGTCCCGATTCCGAGCACCTCCAAAAACAATGACTTCGATCCCCGGCTTTGATTTAGAAATGTTCTCGCGTTCCAACAAGATGATAACAAAACCTTCCACATGTGGGCGCCCTTGTCCCTCGTTTCAGACTGAACTAGGTGAATTGACTTGGCAAGCCATGGCGGTATACTGACTCAGACCCCAAATGTGGCAGTGAATGGCGAGACGTAAAATACATTCGTCACATCGCCCGTAGCAATGATTAGTTTTCTATAGGAATTCAATATTAATGTTAGGCGCTCTTTAGCAAACTCAAATTACGAATTTCATGAATGATAATAATTCGTTTCATAAAATTTAAATAATTGGAAAAACAGGTGATTAAAAAGTCTGTCATGGAAATTCCATCATTTCAATGAGTGAATTTTCGATGTGCGAAATTTTTCATGGGTTGACTTTCTTACCACCTTTCTTCGTGGATCATACCGCCCAACGAAATCCAAACCTGTTCCAACAGGCTTTCGGGGAAGAGTTATCTGGGTTGATTTTTTATGGGCGGGGTTTCCATGGGTGGGTTTTTGGAACAACGTTCCTATTCCACGTATTTGCCATCTCGTGATGGAAATGAATTTCATTCAATTATTTGAATTATTTTTATTCCTAAATATTGGAGATGTTTATTGCAGGAATATGACCCGAAACTGGAACAGAAGGAGCGGAAGGTACATTACTGTATTCTAATATTCTGGTGAATGTTCAGCAAGCGATGATATATCAACAATCAACGATAATGTAACACAATTTTATCTCAAGAGTAAGCACTCCGAGTAATCTGACTTCCGTACTTCTTGTTGCAATCATTACTCTTTTGTATGACAAATAAATAAATTTATGCCCTATTATGAGTGTCCGGAAGTCAACACTGGTGTATTTGTAAATAAGCTGCCCATAATTTCAGCCTATTCTTGTAAAAATTTCCGAAATTTATCTGTTTTTCCTAATTGAAGTCAGAAAGATCTGCCGCTGGATTTTTAAAAGTGTGGATATTCTCCGAAATTCTTTATGAGCAAGTGGAAATTTAGTTCCGTGTAACAATAAAATGATACGACAAAACGTCTCCTGCTCATTATAAAATAACTGTCGTCCACAAACGAGGATTTTCATGTCTCTCACACAAAAGTCATACATCAAAGCCCTATTCATGTCGGGCAGATCTAAACCAACCGAGGATTTCAATAAACATTATTAAAGCCATCTGTAAAACACTCTTATTTTTATTATTATAAATGCGCAGTTTTTACACATTTCAACCCGTTCCTACAGTTTATTCATTTTTGTCAGACAAAATTTAGTTGTGAAACAATCGTTTCACACTATGAAAAAGGCATTCTTACTCACACTTATGTAAGTGTATTCAACCCAGGCTATGTTTCTAGACCTTTTATCAATTTTTCTAAACTACCATCAATACCTTTCTTTCTGTCAAATAAAATTTGATTTATTTTATGCCAATCCAACTATAATTGAATAGGTCCCGAAACTTTATGTCTATGTCAAATCAGAAATATACAACAAAATAAACTTATGTGCTAAAGGTTGCAGAAGATATGAATTAATTATATGAAGCTAGTTTATTTGTGAATTTATTTAGCAAATTAACAAAAGAGTGGTAATATAAATATTTAACAACAAAATAATAAAAAATACATGAAAATGGCTTACGTGAAAATATGAACAGATTGATTCAAACAAAAGTACAGAAAAATAAATACGTATTTTAAAAGAGGAATGACATTGTATTAGATACATTACAGTACCAGAAATTTTTAAACTTTAATTGAGAATTAAACAATAGCATACATATTCGAAATACGATTATTTAATTAATGATAATTTGTCTAAATTAGATTTCAAAAACAGTATTTGCATAATTTGATTTCAGACCTTTGCTAGAAGAAGCCAAAACTATTTAAAATTTGAAAAAGGAAAGAAAAATTTGTTTCATCGACGTAAATATGAAATCACAATTGTGACGTGGTATGGGACTGTTGAACAGCTTGTTGTCCACGGGCTGTATTGAGCCTTCATATTCCTCCTGAGTTTGTATTTGAGTCCCAACCCAATGTGTGTGTGAGACTGTGTCTTCGCAAATCACAATTTCGCCTGAAGACTTTTCCGCACGAAAGACAGGTATATGGTTTGAAGTCGGTGTGAGTAAGCAGGTGAGTTTTCAAGTTGCTTCGCTGGTTGAATGACCGATCACATGTTGGACATTTGTGAATTGAATCCTGAAGTTTTTATTTATTCATTATATTCGTCGTTTGTTTTAGATTGACTTCAACTACTAAGTGACAACGATGAAAATCACACCTGCGTATGCAATGTCCTGTGAACTGCAAGAGTGCGAGATTGACAAAATCCTTTGCCACATTCTTCACACTTGAATGGTTTTTCCTTTGAGTGTATATATCTGAAAACAATTTTATGAACGTTTTTAATTTATACATTACCACAAAACAAAAAGTTGACCAAGAACAATTGCGCCAGAGAAAGTTGACTTACTTATATTTATATAATGATCAAGCAATAAAAATTAAGCAATGGGAATCATTGATTTCAACGATCAATCAACGATTTGAAGAAATTTTTTTATACAAAATCTACTATTTGAACAATTTTTGTAGAGCATTATAGCTATTGAATCCAGCTTATTGGTATAATCTTTTTGGCATTTTATGGAAAATTAAAAAATACTGACAAAAACTTTTTACCGTCATGATATTAAAATTAACAAACCTGTGATCTCTTAAATGATCTTGTCTCCTGAAAGCTTTCTTACAAATATCGCAAACATACGGTCTTTCATCTGTATGTGTCCTTTCATGAATCAATAAGTTATAACTTTTGGTGAAATGTCTGTTTAGAATTGGAGATAAAAAAAAAACATAAATTCAAACAGAAGATATTGCATATTTTTTAATGTAAAAATTACGTATTGCCTAATTGAAAATATATAATTGTCACGCAAGTTTTGCATATGGAGAATGCAGTTACCCAGTTTATTAATATTTTGATTGCTTTCACAATATTGAAATTAGATCTTATGGAGAAAACTAATATATTTTCTCCACAATTTTTTTTCATAACATAAACTTGAATTTTAGTTTCACTTCACAAAATTTTCACCTTCCACAGTATTTGCAAATGAATTCTCTCTTCGGCTTTGGCGTTCTTCCTGGACGTTTGCTTTTTATTTCCCCCACCTGGCGATGCGGAAGATTAGGAATTGTTGGAACCCAATACGGACTGAAACGACTTATCTGTTCAGGTCTAACTGAGGAAAATGATTTTAATCCATTGTTGAAAGCAGCGTTCATGTGCGATGGCTGAGGCCTGTAGAATAAGTCTATTTTTTATTTCAATATAGCATGTGAGTTTATATGTCTTTATTTATTTTAATTTTTTTGATTGTTGAATTATTTCTTTGTATACCTGAAGCCAGACAAACGTTTGTTTTTCAATTACCGTACTTTATCGCACTGGCAAATTCATTCAAAAGTTACTCAAATATATACTCAATTAGTCATTCAAATATACATCCACTTACTGTGGTAGAAATCCATTACGTTGCACGTCCGGTATTGCCGAAGGTATAGGTGAATTTCGAATAAAATAACTTGTGTAAATTTGTTGTAAAATAGCAGCATATGCATTTCTCAATTGAAGTTGAAATAATTCATTTGCTATAGCATTAGGATTTGTGTGAAGAAGATTCGGAGTTATATTTTTATCGAATGGAAGAAACGACGGTGGGTAGTTAGCCAGATTCAAATTAAAATCAGAGTGATATTTATGAACATTCTTGAATGCAATTGTATCGGCTTCAGAAGATCTTTGTTTTTCAATTTTCGGATCTAAAATTAAAGATACAATTTTGCATATACAGAGTACAATGAGCTAATATTACATGGTTGAGGCTCATACGTCCTCTGCAAATAAATTCAACAGTTGTTGTTCCCAATACAAAGAATCGAAGCTTATACTGCAAACAAATTTGAAACGCAGTTCATAATTAGAATCAATTGATAATAATGAGTCTAATCTACAATCTGTCATACTTCCAAAATTGAATTATCTACCAAAAAAGTAAAATTATTTTGTAAAAGTTGATGTTCTTTAATCACGTTATTTATCGATTTGATGGATTACCTTGTTCGCTTGGTGTTGTTATCGAATCTGCAAGTTTGTGAAAGTTCACACTCGACTTTCGCGGAATACTGAGATTCAGCAACGACGAATTCACCGAAGTTCGATCGTTATCTTTGGTGAAATCACATGTCAAGTCAGCTGCCATTTTTAGATTTAATGTCGAGGTAGGCTGGGGATCTTCGCGGGATCCTAAGTGCTTCAGATCTGGGTAACCGGGAGGAACAAATCCGGTGTTACGTTGTGTATCATGTTTGAAGCTTTGGAAGTCTTTAAACTTTTCTCCTGGAGTACTTGAGCAGCTGTATGCTTCGCTATGCGAAGAGGTTGATGATGGCGAAAATTTGTTTCGTTTGTTGTCATCAGTTGACGAAAAGGAAGAAAGTCGAGTCCGCGGCCCTGATTCATTTTTTTGAATATCACTTTGGCGACTGGTTCCGAAAAGTCCGATTGGACTGAATGCTGAAGCCATGTTCAACAAAAATAGCCAAAGAAAACGCGCGATATTCAATTAAATGCTATTGATAAGAAACTGAACGATGCAAAACAAGATATATGCAAGTGATATCCAATTTACCAATATAAGTTCGAAACCAGATTCTACAAAATTGTTATTATGATTTCAGAACTTGAATAGACCAAGAGTTCATTCGCCCATAAACATTATAGCTTTAATATTTTCGACTTCAATTTTGAAAATATATCTTTAAATCAACTATTTAATTTTTTTTAAATTTGATTGTACGGAAATCGGTAGTTATAAAAGCAAAGTTGAATGAAATTTTTAGAAATCAGTACTGAAGCTCACAACGAATAAATTTATAGCGCATTATTATTTTTTTTTTTGGTTTTTTCATTTTTTAGTATCATAAAAGCTCAAAATTTGTTTTCGGTACAAGGCAATAAGCTAAATAGTAAGCTATTTCATTTTATTGCTTGTTTTATTTGGCAGAGAAACAACACCTGGATTGTTTAACCTACTGGTCAACATGGCTATAACATGCAATAAAATGATCGGTCATAATATTATTGCTATTGTACTGGAAAGTAAAATTTCAGCCGCTGTACTTGCGTACATATGTTATTCTAAGAATTTCAATCTTTATTCGTTGACAAATTAGACTAACGGCATAATATGGTAATGATCATTTTTCAAAGGAATAAAATTCAAATTGTTTTGCGTGATTAGAGGGTATACGTTTGGCGTATTTTCTACTAGTGTGCGCGCAGAAGGCCATTCACCCACAAGATGTTTTACTATGTCGTTAAATATGATCATACGATGTTTTAGTTGGATAAGAATAGCACTGGACAGTTGGACGATTTATCTTCACCAAACCAATAATGGTGCATTACTAAGAACGACGCGAGCTAAAGTTTCGTAGTGATTTTTCAGCTGTAATATCGAAATTATAGTTTCCGATTTATACAAAAAGTTGGATCGTTGCTGATAACTCGTGATATGGAAAATGTTCGTCCAATTACAAAATAGCACGACTTAGAACAAAGAATTAGATGTTAGATCTACAAAAATCACGACAAGCGGAAAGTTAGAGCAATTCTCTTTCACGTGATCATCATTGTAATGTAAAACTAAGCAGTAAAGATTTTCTAGGTTATAAAAATCAAAATTCATTTTGATGAGAAATCGCTATTACTGTTTGTGTACCGGCCACAATTTTATGAACTTTTGGCAAACATAAATGAAATTTTACGACACAAACTGTCGATTTTTATTATTCCTTTCTTGGTCGTATTTTCTAATCTGACTACTAATCGACAGGCCAGCAATCAATGAAAAAATGCAATAAAACTTTTATTGTGCACTGTTTACGAAAAAAAAAATTACACTCATAGAGAATGGTTTGTTTATGTAGGTCAATCTATCTCGTCAAATTTTGTGATCTAAATTAAAATATAAAACAAGGCCATCTGGGCTGTACGAATGTTGATTAATTATTCAACTTTTTTTTTTATAGTAAAATCAAGTCACCTACGAATTTCCTATTGCTAATTCAGATGTTATTTTTACGCTTTGTGCCCCTACATTAAGAAACTGAATTGCATATATATGTATTAGTATAATAACATTGTGCCAAAATTTATATAACGTTAGAAATCTTTTGTGTACGTTGCACCACTTCAATTTTGTACACAATATGCCAATTTTCAGTTAAAATTTGAATTTTTTTGCATACGAAAAAGGGAAGTAATAGAAAACATGAATTACATCATGTTGAATATAATTATATATGAATATTAGTAAAAGCGCTAATTTGATTGCTATTTTATGAACCAGAATCATATAATATCAATTTAGGATGCATGTAATCTCATAAGCCCATAACAGATGTCGTGCTGCTGAACTGTCGTTTCACATCATAGAATTTTTTTGGTACAGAATAAAAAAAATTTATATATATAACAATGCAACTCTAAAGTACAAAAATGGTTGCCACGACAGAAGCTCGAATATATAGTTAGGTATCAGCATCTTTAAATGGCGATTGTATATCCTTTTCTAAAGGAGCTAATATATTAGGAACAATAGGGCTGCCGTTATCGACGCGTGGGTAATATCCATTCTATGGCCACACAGGTATCCGCCATTTTAACTCAACAAATCCCATGCTAATGGCATATGTTCTACTAGAAAGCTACCTAAAACAAAGACATCTATTAACTCTCAATTTAATCGACTAATGTGAGAGTGTTACAAAGCTAGTTGTCCCATCTGCTTATATACTGCCTATCTTTAAAGGGAGAGTCTCATCATTTAGATAAAGTTAAAGAGTAAACACTGTTCGATTCTCATTATTTTGTTTAATATGGTAATATTTTATCAAACATGATGTGTTACTAAAACGAGGCTCTTGTCAATACAACATTAAGCATGTAACAATCTTGGTAATTTATTGTTTCATTTCTGTTATTTTAGTTGATTTTTGTTGTTATTGGTCGCCCGCATTTGACAGTTTGCTTCACACGAAACTGACTAAGCATTTTTATTCTTTCCACAATTAACTACCGTTTTCTACGTGAAATTTACTGATGATTCATTGGAAAGCATCGATCTAAGGTCAATAGCCTAAGTTTTGAAATAATTTTCACTATAATAGATAACCCATTTTACTGCTCCTTCAACGGTTTTTCTATAGACGATGAATATCTTGCCTGAAACAAGAAATTTATTGATATAAGTTTTTTGGCTGAGATGTATAAGAAATATTGGAGAAGGATTATTTAAACCTTTCAAAAAATCTCAATATATGTTTTTTTCATTTACCTGAATACGGGCCATTTCTCAAATTATTCACTTCGTTGGTCACAAGTCAACGACCTCTCACTGTTCGCGTGATTGTGAAACATGCGATTTTCAGGGTTTCGTATCCACGAGTTGCAATCGGAAAAAAAGGTAATATTTTAAAGAAATAATTTACAACTCTTAAAAAAAATCTTACTCATTTTCCCACACAGCCCAAAAAATTTTTTTGAATAACAAACGACTCGATCAGTCATTGACGTCTAGTTTTTCACTGCCCAACAACGCTTATTGCAACACAATGCACAGCTGACATAGTGACACCTCGTTACCTTCCTCTTCATCCTCTAAAGTTTCTAAACAATATTGTATCACAAAAATGAAGCCCATCATAATAAATCGAATAAATTCGTAACGGATTAAAAACCATTAGTTCATTAAAACATTATATTAAAAGATGTGCATAATCTATGCTCAGCAATAAATCTGGAATTTATCATCTACGTGACAATCGTAACGATATCAATGTCATTGACATCTCAAGCATTTTAATTCATGAAAAATTTAGGGTTCGTCATTTCGGAAGTCAAATACTATCACATTATGAAGAGAGGCATTACTTCCGATGATTCGCAATCATATGTTTGCTAAAAGAACACAAAGCAATGTTAAATAGTTCGTTTATTAAAACAGATTCAAAAACATGTTTCAACAAGTTCCGATATCTTTCCGTTGTTGCATGGCACCCAATAAAAGGTAATGTCGGCAAATACCAATCTTCCGATCCACACTGTTTTATATAGATATGCTGTAATTAAGTAAAATACACCGACTTTAATTTGATAACTAGGTAGAAATTTATATGAGAAATTTCTGGTAAATTATTTCATACATCTAAAAAATAGTTCAATAATTCAAGCGTTTGCTGTGTTGAGATGTAGCGATAGATATTATTTGCAATATCCACTTCAGGTAATGATGAAAATATTGATGGAAAGATAGAAAATTGTGTTGAATGGGAATTATAATGTTATCGTAATAATACATCAATTAGTTTGCCTACAATTTGGATCTTTTTAAAAATTTAAGATGTTGATTTTTTAAGTGAGTAGTTGATAAAAATAAAACTCCTCATTTTGATGAACACATATCGAAGTCTGATCAACATTAGCAGTATCAAACAAGATTTATGAAAATACAATTGAAAATAATTAAATTTACAGATCCACTTTGAGTCAGTTGCCCATTTTACCATTATATCAACCATTAGTATTCTTTCTTGAGAAGAACAGTTTAAAGTGCTAAAGTGTGGCTGATTTTTGTACGATACCTCGAATTCTAAACGGTTGCATTCAATATGACAACCGGGCGGGCAAACTATTCAAATTTCCATAATAGCCAATGTTTGCACTAATTGGTCGGTCATCCATTTTTGTCCTGTGTGACACTATTCCCGCGGTTATAGCTCTATCGGGAATATATATAAAATGAAATATAGAATGTGGAAGTGGTTAAAATAGAAAATCATCATCGCTTATTGATTCTATATAATATCCAAAGCAAAAATAATATTTGTTGAGTTTCAATCTGGACAAAAGAGACCGACGTGAATTTATTCCGAATGTCAGCGATTGTTTGTTTTCAGATTTTGTCATTCATCGGACGTACAATTTTTTAATCGTACATAAAAAAATAATAATTATTATTAAAATCTTATTAGTTTGAAATATCGGTGGATTAATGCTTAGCATCTTAATTTATTCGTTATTAATGTGCAACTTTCCTCATGTATATTCAAATTTTTGCTTATATTTAATGGTAATTAGATTTTCAAACAGCTATCAAATATCTCTATTCTTTAAAATATGCCTTGTAATTTCTACTTATTCTACCTTCATATCAGAATTACACGCTTTGGAAAAATAATAATTTTACGAGAAAACGAGAAAAAGTTGCATCCAATCAGTCGAATATTCAAGAATACACGGTTACATGTCACAAGTTACATGCCAGATTCCTGTGATAAAAACGCTTATTTCTAACCACCATTCTGACTAAAATGGCCCGTTTTTAATAAACGTTTATGTCATGGTGTTAGTCATCCATCAATGCCACGTTGGTTTCTTTGCGGTAGCGCGACAGATCTAAGCTTCATTGTTATTC